GGCACATACAGCCACAAGTTTGTATTTCAAAGTAGGCTATATGATTGTCACAAGTGTTGAGCATAACCTTCGATATCCCTTCGATGTGCACGTTGTGATCGTCCTGAACAGGTGCTGCGCTATTTAGCTCATAACCACCCAAGTGTACCTTTGAATATACACATTAATATTCATGTGCTATTTACAGAGGTAAAAATGAACCATTTTATAAATGAGTCATTTGATATGGCAAGAATCAGACTGTGATCACACTTTGTCATTTTTTTCTGTTCCGGACACATATGGTGATTATGTGACAACAGTTTCTTGTAATGAAACTCCGATGCCAAAGTATTTGTACTTTCATTTTTTTACTTTTCAGATACGTGTTGCTTATATCCGCACTGCTTTTAATTAGGTATATTGAAAACAAATGACACATTTTCTATGCCATAACCCCCAAACTGTCTCTAATTGGGCTGAACCAAACACTGGGTATGTTACAAATTGAAACATTCTCCCTGGAAGCCTAACAAGACCGTAGTTATTGGTGCGGCTGGTCCGTTACCTTTGACCTCTTGTGCAATACTAATCTGTCACTAGCAGCACTGCGAATTAGAACCCTGTCTGAGCAAAGATGTAATCCGAAAACAACTCCAAGAACATCATTATTTAAAGAAAAGGACAGTGTTGGAAAGGGATTAAGATCTTAAAACTCTCCATTAATCTCATTCATCCAGACAATAGACAATACTCAAATGCAATTCAGTAATTCCTGTTTTAAAGAATAGCTCGTAATCACCAGTGACAGATCTAGACCAGGATTCTTAAAAGATTTCCAATACTTTCCCTGACACATCTGGCATAATTACAGCACATAAACATACATAAAGATCAAGAGATTGAAGTTTAGACCAAATACATGAATATATAATAAGATGCATACTTGTTAAACAAGACCTAAATTCAATATAAATTATGTCTATACATAATACAATTTAAAAGAACTGTTCTATTTTAATATATATATATGAAAGTGACATTTATTCATGTGATGGCAAAGCTGAATTTTTTTAGCAGCCATTACTACAATCTTCAGGGTCACATGATCCTTTCTTTCATGATCCTCATTTCTTGTTATTAACAATATTCAGATAAACTATTAAGCAGCACAACTGTTTTAAAAATGTATAATAATAAGTGCCATTATTATTAATTGAGCACCAATAATAATTGATTAAAAAAATTATTAAAGTAATTTCTGAAGGATCAAGTGACACTGAAGACTTGAGTAATGACTGCAATCAATGAATTAAATTGTCATAAGATTTGACAATATTACTCTTTTTACTGTATTTTTTAATAAATAAATGAAGCAAGAGACTTCTTTCAAAAACAAACACAAAATCTTAATTATTCCAAACTTCTGACCTGTGTGTGTGTATGTGTAATTTTAGGCTCGCCATTTCTCCAGTTATTTTCACGAGACAAGTTACCAAACGTCTGCCTATACGGTGTGTAAAAGTTTAGAGAGAGCAAGTAGTGTTTAACTTTTCAATCTTTTTAACTTGCAAATGAATCATGCCAGTGCAACATTGACAAAATGACTTCTAGCATTACATATTTCACGTGAAGAGCAATTAACCTTAACACTAGGAATTTCGCTCTCTGTTCCTTTAATTTAACAACATCATTTGCACAGCTCTCCCACAGCCAAGTGTAAATTACAGCGCGTGACATTGGGCTACTGTCGCATGTACAGCATATTTCTTCTTTTAGTTGGTACAAGAACAGAGAGATGATTCAATTCCTAGGCTGTGAGCCTGATGCTGATATGAAGAGGACGGTTTGACAGGGTACACTTATGTATACTTTGAATATCCTTGTTTATCACCCCCAGCATACATCACATCTATATAAAAAATAGGTGCCCTGGTAGCTCTTGATATGGTAAATTGGATATTTTATGGTTTATGGAAAGCCGCCTTTTTTATCTTTCACTTTTATTCATGACCTCTGAAGCTCCAATGCAGACATTGTAAAGACAGGTTAAGCGTTATTAGGTTCATGAATACAAACACTGCTTTGATTCTGTGTCACTAGTAAGGTGGTTATCTCTTAGTTGCCTCATTGGTTTTGAGTTTGTGAGTTTGAGCAGTACGAGCTCAATCCTACAGTGATGCTCACTGATTAAACTCAAGGATCTGTGTGATAGGACTGCCTTCATGCCTCTTAAGGGAGTTCAGACTTCTTTTGATGGATCCCATCCTAGCTCTTTTGAATTAAACCGTTTGTCATAAGCTAATCGCTGTATTAAATAATGCATCCCAGTGCAATCTATAATTAATGCACTCGAGTCGTTATTGTCTCGCACTGATGCTGCCTGTTAAGGTATGTGGAACTGGTGAATAAAAAGTTGGTGAACATTGGAGAGAATGATGGAAATCATGTAAATGGGGTCCTGAAAGTAGTTGACTCCACACAGTAATTGCTGACAGTATTTATCCAGGCAAGGCTTTGTGATGGCTGATTACTGCTGGCCCTGATTAACGACTCCTGCGTGTGTCTCCACATCTGTGCTGTGCGGAGAATTAGAGAGGACAGAGCAATACCATAATACTAGTGCTTTCCAAATGGCTAATGTACAGAGTTGAAACATTGGAGAGAGTGAAGATGTTTCATACCCCCCCTTCTGTTTTGTGGGTGGGTAATATGCTTTTGTTTTTTGGTTTGGGTAACTTTTTTGTGTTCTGATTGTTTTATAGTATTTTTTATCATTAATTTCATGCTATAGGGGTTAGTCATGCCTCTTTTTTTTTTCATCTGACTCTGAATTTTATTATGCAAGCTAGTCATTGAATCCATGTTTTTTTGGATGTTTTGTGATCCATTAAAAATTTCACTGGTTTAGAAAAACGCACCGTTTCCCCCTACCTCGAATCCAATTGTATGTGATTATTGTAATTGGCTAATGTGTAAAATTAGTAAGGGCTTGGCTTTTTAAATTATGGTTGATTTTGTCTCATTAAACGGTGGCTGGGCAGGGTTACCAGGTCGTCCCATATAAAACTGAGAGAAATCTGGTTTAAAAGAAAAAACTTTTAAATGGCCCTGACAATCCTTTCCTTTTATTATATAGGCTACCTTTATTATCCCCATTAACTGAAAAGGTGTTTCCGGTGACGTAGTTCACTAGAGAAGGTTGTGATGTGATGCAGTAATACTGAGCGTCATGTTTTGCTGCTAGTGATGGTGCTGTCCCTGGTGCTGAACTAAATGAGTTATGGGGGTGCGTGAAAACATTTTGTAATTGTTAAAAGTGTTCGAAAGAAACAGCTCTGTCCTTGACACCCAACAAGTCTCACTTTTTTGATGATTGGATTGAAGATTAGATGTTTCATCTTCCTCCACAAAGATCTCTTAAAAATGTCCAGCGACAAGACAAATTAAAACTTCCTTTCGATAGAGAAATCGAGGTTCTCTGTAATGTTTAAAAGTACACGTTTATCTTATAGGCTACATCGGTCTACATACATGTGAGGTCGTGAAATAAACGAATTGTTTTTATTTTACGTGCAGGCGCTCCATCAACCCATTTATTTTTAAGGGAAAATATATAATGTCTTTCATGTTAACAATGTTAGATCTTTAGCGTTTTCGCCTCACTTTTCCGTTTATTATTATTATTATTATTGTGTTAGTGATTGATTCATGATATTTTAATTAATTAATTATAGTCTTAAGCTTTTTATCCTTTGCTGTTCTGATTTTTTAAAATTATTTCAGTAGGCCTAATTAATTCTAAATAAATAATTTTAGTGATAATAGTGATTTTATACTGCCTATGTAGTTCTATACTGTTTTTTGAAATGCATCATTTATTTTATCTATGCCTTACTTTACGTGATTGTTTGTTGTAGAAGTGAAGTTTTTAAGTGAAAGCGGAATTGCTGTTGCACTTCATATCAGCATCGTGTAAACAGGTCTAATTTTTTCGATGTGGTGGACACCAGAACTAGAACAATGTACAATAATGACACTGACACTGATGTTCATGACTGTTTCCTGTGATTAAAGACACCCAATTACGGCAGTGAACAGTGTCGTAATTATGTTCCTTAATCACATCCAGGAGTTTAATTGCCTTAACGATGTGCTTAATTAAAAGGAATATAGGTATTGCAGTCGACAGTTTTGATACACTGTTGTTTTCAAATTAACATTATTAGACAACGTCACGGATTTTTTTTAATAATCATGATCGGGGTGACTAAGCTTTATCTTGTAATACTGACAGACATTCTCCTTTGGCCGAAGGGCATTGCTGTCCATAACGTCTGGTCTTTTTTTCCCAGGGCTTCGCCCGTTTATGTAAACGAGCAGAAAATTAAAAACACTCATGTTCAACAAACCACTGCTAATTTAGTGAGAGAAATATTAAACATCTTGCTTCTTAATCGTTAAATGTATCTTAACACTATTGCTGTCAGATGCCGATTTCACAAATAACTCTCTTCCGTAAAATATTTTTTTTTTTTATTGGTCGTAATCTCTCGAGCCAACAGAAGCCATGAATCACTTTACTACCAGAGGCATCACAACATACAACCAGGCATAATATGTTGGATCAAAATATTTTAATAAAGCTTTCCAATACATCAACACATACAAATGGCCCTCTGTGGTCATATTGAAACTAATATATCTACATTGCTTCTAGCCTCGACCTGACAACAAGTTGAAACCGCCACGTCCCTAGTCAAACTGCATGTGTGTTTGTAATAAGCCAAATCGGCGAGATTTACAGCAATTATGACAATGCTTAATCAGACCAGGCATGCAGACCCACTTGATTTCATCCATTTAGAGAAATTAAAAAAGCAAAACAACTTTTTAAGATTCCACCAAACTAACAATATATTATATTACAATTTTGAAAATGAACAATCTCAACTATGCTTTCGAAATAACACGTAGGCTACTTTGGAATAAAGTCCAAAAACGCTGCTCCTTCCAGCTGCTGCTTTTTAAAACACGGGTGCACTTGAAAGCAAACATTTACATAACATAAATTCAAAGTAGCAAGAATACGTATTATTGCAAGTTAGAGTTAAAAACCTTGAAACGTTTGGTATCATAAACAAGGTAAAACATGGTTGCATGTTGTCAGGTCAGTGATACACGTCATTCTGAAGGGTCCACGTTAATTAACTGTTCATTCTTCATCAACAGACATAGACTTTTAGTTTGGATTTTATCCCACTCTCACCAGCACTTAAAAGTATAGGCTATACCGTATGTACACAATCAGTTTTTCTTGGAATGAAGTTGTAAGAAAAGTTTTTTAGCATTCTTCTATATTGAGCTCATTGTAAAACTGCTGGAAAACATCAGTCTCTCTTTTTTTTTTCAGAGTCAAACGTTGCGCATGTGCTTCTACCAGAGTCAGTACCGCTGCAGAGTTTAAGGCTTGTCAGTGCATTGCTTACAGAGGCTGGAGGTGACGTTGTTGAAAAGGGCACATTTGTCCGGACAGGAGGATGCTCCAACTCCTGCGGGGAACGGGTAACCAGTCGGCTGCTCGTATGCGCTCAAACCCGGTGCTGCGAGAGCTGTGGTCGCGGGCAGCGAGGCTGCAGAGATAGCCTGGCCTTGGTTGAGATACGCAACCAGCCGTCTCATCTCCTCCAGCGCCTGTGCCTGCATGAGGATGTAATTTTTGGCTAAGAGCAAGGTGGCAATTTTGGAGAGTTTCCGTACAGACGGACTGTGCGCGTAAGGGATGACCGCGCGCAGCTCATCGAGCGCATCGTTCAGATCGTGCATTCTCCGTCTCTCCCGGGCGTTGATGTTTAGTCTCAGAGTTTTCTGCTCTTTGTTTTTCTTACCTCCCTCTGACTTTGCCCCGGGCACCATCGTTCTCCCGTCAGCCATGAGCATCATCTCGCATCGGTCGTCACTGTCATCGTCCTGGCTCTGTTCGCCGCCGCTGCTCTCCGCAGCCGAAGTTCTGTTTGCGCTCTCGCCGTACTTCACACACAAAGATCCGGTCGGCAGACCCAGCGTGCCCGCTCGCCCCCCGGGCTGCACCGGGTCTGGGTCGGTCTGGTCGAAACAGCTGATGGGCGACTGGCTGTCGCGGGAACCAAGATCAATACCCGCAGCCGGTCGAAACGAGTCCATCTTTTTGCTCGACACTGCGCTGAGAGTTTTGTGAAAAATGTCTCCACCCAAGTTTAATCTCCTGTCCATAGTCTCCAGAAAGTCGGACGCGATGGTGGGGCTTCACTCAGCCACTGTCCTCTCCTTAAGTTTCTACTCTATGAAGTAGAGTTGATGTTGATGGCTGCTCCACTTGTCAAGTGAGGTGTAGAGGCAGTAGCTCCTCCTAAAGTGCTCTACACTGCGTTTATCGCGTTGAGACACACTTTGTAGATCTCGGCAGCGATCAGCATCAGCAGCAGAAGGGGGAGTCTTTTACATCATTATCTCAAGTCGGGCTATTAATGTGAAGAAGATTCGCCTATCGGGATTGAGCGCGCGCTACCCAATCAGGTTAACGTTTTAATTAATGGGATTAAAACGGTAACAAACAATCCAAACGGGTTTCTCGCAGCTTTACAAAAGCACCACAGCTCCTTCATTTCTATGCCCATCTGTGTACCCAATGAACAAGTGCATTCAAGCCGCTTGAGCTTTGCTTTACGTTCTAATGTTAATATTTTTTTGTTTTGCTGCAGTCTTTTTTATAGGCTGGGGGAGGGACAGTGAGTGTGTGGGCCTAATTTCTAATCCAAATAATAAAAAGGGGGCACATATTTAGATCAAGTGTCCTGTAAAAAAAGTAGCTGCCTTACATTTTTAAGTACAATCAACTATGTTTAAGTAATTACAACTTAAATTACATTAAACTGACTTATATTTGAATCTTGTATAACTTATAAAAAAGTTGTAAATTGCATAATTTAGTTTGATGAGTTAAAACAATGTAAAAACATATGTTGTTATAACTTATTGATCATATAATTTTTACAGTAAAACTCGCATCACTATTTTTATCTAAAAGTAACAATTCGAGAGAAAACCACTGACCTTCCGGTAAATTTTGATGTTTTAATTAAATGTCTTTTAACAATTTTCATGCAAACTGTAAAATTGAAAATGAAATTTGAAAGAAAAAGTTATTTGTCTCAAGTGTGTTGTTGTCAAATTTGTGTTAGTATTTGTTACTTCACATTTACTCGTCGACAATCCAAAAATTTGACTTTTGATATTTTAAAGCTCACTTGTTCCATTCAGCTCATGTCATACCCAACACTGCTCCTTCCTTTAGCAAACCACATGATCCAACTGTGTAGCTATTCAGTCTTGAGTCATTTTTCAGAGTATCGAGATGACCTATCCTCATCTTGAGAATTCACTATATTAAATTACCCCCTTGGTTTATATGGGTAGAAAAAATCTTTAAAAAAAGTACTCTTAGAAATTCACATCTGCAGCATTAAATAAACACACAGAGCAGCAACTATTTAGATACTCGTAATTTTGCATTTGGGAGTATGGGCTACTCGTACAGGGTAGGCAGGCCTACTTAATAAAGTTTATCTTCTTCACTTGGCCCTTTTGTATAGGCTACTTTGCATCACAGTGGCAGACAATGGTAGTGTGCGAACTTTTGGGACAATGCTTCTAAAAAGAAGAGGACACATTTGTGAGCGAGAGTCTCCCCCACGTGGCCATAATGAATTTTGCGCTCACTTGTATTTTTTAGGGGTCACTTATTTGTCAGCAATAGGCATCTTTTGTAGGTCTCAGTAATGATCATCTCAGTAGTGATGTTCAGATGTTCCTATAAACTCTTTACATTTTTTTGTACACATTTTTGTACACAAATTACATTTAGGTTAAGTTTTATGTCTAGATTATACTTTTTTTACTTAATAAAACAGATAAAATTCCAATTCATATTTCCTATTCAAACTTCATTATTACAATGCAGTAAAAGGTTATACAACCATAAAGCGTAAACCATACACCGCACATGTATACAGTAGCTCGGGCTGTGGTAGGCCTAAATGTTTTTTGCAATACTGTCCTGTGCCACATGGTCTCAGACTGCGCACATTATTAAACATTCGGACAGACTCACCGAAACATTTAATAGGCTATATATGACAAATATTACATTTATGACTAATACAAAAAAAAAAAACGTAAAATAGTAACGTAACCAGTTGGGTGAGTAGCCTACATGTTTGGTTTATAATTTCACACATTTCAGATATACAAAACAACTATCGGGATCTCTATTCTTTTATTGGCTATATGTTTTATGATTTCAAAGCTGTCTTTTGCCACTAAAACACATGCGCGTGCACATTTGCATATGGTTAGTTGTTCGTAATTCAGTTTTATCTGTTACCAGTGATGCAGTAAGAGATCTGCACAGAGAAATTCAGGCGCTGTCCACATGTGGTACTGTTGTGTTGCTGCAGTATTGATGAGCGATTAACAGTTTCCAGTGTGATGGATGAACCGGAAGTATTTCTCATCTCCTTCTAAACTCTGTGTTTAGGACCGCCGAACGTAAACCAATTTTTTATTTACAAAATTAGATTTTTTTAGGCCAACATATGATATAGGAATATATGGACTTATTATAATTATTTCCAAAATGATACACGAACGAACGCAACTTATTAAACATGCAATGTGATCTTATGCGACAACGATGTAGTGTAGGCCTACTCTTTTAAACCATCACTTACCATAAATAATATAGGGGCAATATTCAGATAGCATACCGCAACTATTTAATTCAGTCTCTTCTTTTTCTGATCCTCTGTTTGTTTTCTCTCACTTACCCTCGGCCTGTCTGTCGTTTAATAGCTAAGTATTAGCCTAATATTCATCACTTAGAAACGGCTTAGATGCTCCCCAGCGAGCAAACAGTCGTCTATAATACGTCTAAAAGACGTAATTGTTAGACATCCAGAAGACGTCCTCACAGGAGCCAGAATGAAAGTTTTTTATACGTCTTTTCAGGACGTTGTTTAGATGTAAATTAAAGACGTGCTACAGACGTAATTTTTAAACATCCAGAAGACGTCCTCACAGGAGCCAGAATGAACGGTTTTTATACGTCTTTTCTGGACATTGTATGGACGTAAATTAAAGACGTGCTACAGACGTAATTGTTAGACATCCAGAAGACGTCTTCACAGGAGCCAGAATGAAAGTTTTTTATACGTCTTTTCTGGACATTGTATAGACGTAAATTAAAGACGTGCTACAGACGTAATTGTTAGACATCCAGAAGACGTTTTCACAGGAGCCAGAATGAAAGGTTTTTATACGTCTTTTCAGGACATTGTTTAGACGTAAATTAAAGACGTGCTACAGACGTAATTGTTAGACATCCAGAAGACGTCTTCACAGGAGCCAGAATGAAAGTTTTTTATACGTCTTTTCTGGACATTGTATAGACGTAAATTAAAGACGTGCTACTGACGTAATTGTTAGACATCCAGAAGACGTCTTCACAGGAGCCAGAATAAAAGTTTTTTATACGTCTTTTCAGGACATTGTTTAGACGTAAATTAAAGACGTGCTACAGACGTAATTGTTAGACATCCAGAAGACGTCTTCACAGGAGCCAGAATGAAAGTTTTTTATACGTCTTTTCAGGACATTGTTTAGACGTAAATTAAAGACGTGCTACAGACGTAATTGTTAGACATCCAGAAGACTTCTTCACAGGAGCCAGAATGAACGATTTTAATAAGTTTTTTTGGACATTGTTTAGACGTCAATTAAAGACATGCTACAGACGTAATTGTTAGACATCTAAAGGCAGCCAGAATAAAAGTTGTATTAGTCACGTTTTCTGTAGTAGAAATGTCAAAGAAGACTGTTAAAGACCCATATTGAAACGGAAATCCCATTTGTGCATTTTGCAAGGATCCAACTTTAAAAAATCTTTACTTCAAAACAGTGGCAGTGAGTTAGTTCTCACTGAGAAAAACCCAGTTACTCATTGTTAATGGTTGTCGTGTCATGAAACTGCAGACACACAGACCATAGACCTAAATAAGATTTGAAAGAATTTTGATAATATTGAATACTCAATTGAATACGGGAACTGTGTAGTGTATATACAAGTCTTGCATTTGTATATCTTATCAATATAATAGTAATAAACTGCTTACCATTTGCCTGTAAACCAAACTGATCACTCCAAGAAATCAACTATTTAAATCTCAAAATATATATTTTATTACTATTTTGTTCTACTGGACCAAAACTTAAAAGACAGAACAGTAAAGTTATAAATTAACACAATTTCCCTTTAAATAATCTATAAAATGTTGTTAAAACAGTATAACATATCAATTAACAAAATGTGGCTGCTATAAGCTTCACAAGCTTCATTTATCGGGCAAGCCCCGACTCTCCCGGGGGCATGTTTCAGATGATCGGCTGCAGACTTTATTTGGGCCTCTGTTGCAGCTGGGTCCCATTTCATGACAGCAGCTACAATCAAAGCAAAAAAATACACATGTAAAATAAATAAATACAAACGCCACTGTTGTGGTTTAGCTTGCAGCAGAGATGCATAGAAAATTTTAGTAATCGAATCAATAAAATGAAATAGTTATTAAATCACAAATCAAGTAAAATTACATCAAGCCTGATATAAAGCATTTCACACACACATACATATATACACACACACATATACATATTCGTATTCGCATTGAACCGTTCGGTACGAGGCTTTCGGTTCAGTGTGCATTACAAACCGAACGGTTTGTTGGACCATTTGTCCTGCTGACCAAAATTTCGTTATTTAAAATGTAGGGGCGTGGCAAGCGTGCTCATAATGTAAGAGACGCTGCCGCGACCACAACATTGCCCAACATCAAATAGCAAACGTAATGTAAGCGGAACGAAACTGCAGCTGCGCTACTCGTTATTGTGTGGTTTACGGATCGTTTATCAGTTTGGACCAATCCAGCGTCTTGATCAAGCGACACTGTTACTACACAGCACTAAGAGATCCAGTAAAGAAAGCAGTTGAATTTGCCACTGAAGTAATAATATCGCAGCGAGATCTAGTGAGAAACATTCACATTTCTCCGAAACAGCGCTGACGTGGAAAACAGGAATAAACATTGTGCCATGAATGAACTATCCAGTGCCCACAGATCAGCAACATTCACCATGGATTTACTGTAGTAACACTACTAACTGTAACCATGGAAGTTTGGCAGGAATGGTAGGCTATAATGCTTTCAAGTAACGTTACGTCGGTTTTATTTCGACATTATGAATAAAATTGCTGCCCTCAAATGTTAATCTGAAATAAAATAAACCTTTGTTTATAACTACTACAATATTACAATTAATTTTGTTTTTGTTTTATATGCTCCTAAGAAGAGTCAAGTGTAGCTCCATCACTGCTCAAAGTAAAAAATTATCATACTTTATGATGAAAAATTATTAAAAAAATTAAATCAAGGAAATTTCTCTGGCTTTTCTTTCTTTTTGCTGTATCAAAAACGTACCGAACCGTGAATTTTGTGAACCGTCACACCCCTAACATATATATTTATTTACATTTGAATACAGTTATTAAAGACCTG